ACCAGCAACACCGCGAGCTTCGGATACCGAATCGCCTGACACACGGAGGGTGAAGCGTGAGGTCGAGGTTGGGTTGGGAGAACGCAGGGAAATGATTAAAGTAGGGTATTGTATGCGTGCTTCGGAGACACAACATACATCTAAATTGGGAATTTCAAGGGTTCTAGCCAAGGCAGCTTGCTGACCAATCTGATAGAATGTGCGGACATTGAACGCAGCTAAGTAAAAAGGAAATTTTGGCTTCAAGAATCCTGTAACTTCTGGTTGTTTGGGTTCGCTGGTAAGACGCGAATTGATATTCGATGGGTGTCTGGGGTTATTCGGGATTGAGAGGAAGAACTAGATAGATCGGAAAGAGGTTTTTCCTAATGGGTGCCTAAAACTTTAGGACACTGCATACTTCGCGGTTGCCCATACCGACGAAGGGTTTTTTCTTTGGGAACCCTAACCGGAGCCTTCAACTCAAAAGTCTGACCCACAAGGCAGTGTGCGTGGATCCAACGCGGGAGTGTGAACGAAGCACTCGTGTAGAAGCTTTTTGAGACCTGTCACGCAAGGTCTTTGAATTTCGATTATCTGTGTTGTTCGCTGGTGCGTTGCTTGTCGGTTCGCTTTTCGGGATCGGCCGTTAGTAGCATTCACCCAAGGAGACAAGCGGAACGTGGACGGGATAGTACTTTATTGGCTGGGGGATGCTCAGCTTGGGTTGGTGTAGCTGTCCAATGAAGTGCGAAGACTTCTCCCACCGTCGAGAGGAAGCCTTAGGTATCCCGCCCCTACGTCCATCTAGCGGGGGGTTTTCGACCGGTAAACTGCCCCTCACCGTGTTTATTTACTGGAGCGACCTCTCCAGGGGCGGGTGTGGATAGAAGAAAGAAGCCAGGGGGTGCCCAAGCAGCTGGCCTTGTTAGACTGAACTTCATCTGACGTCTATCCGTTGACCTTCCAAGCATGATTGGATCTACGGCTGTGAGAAGCCATCCTGTGTAGCTCGCAGGGTCATTGAGTCACGCAAGCCATCACACCACGTGAAGTTGCAGTCTCATCATGATGGAAAGTTGATTAAAAAGTTTCGCCCTCTTACTTTTATTTAAATCATTGTGTCTGTATAGTATTCCACTTACTTAATTGTGTTGTCGATTTATGTAATATAAATCCTATCTCACAGTTACAAGCCTTTTCATACTCCGCTTGAGTTAAAACACCATCTATTCGTATCAACTTTTTCCTACTGTACTTTGAAACAGCCAATTTGATGTTCGTATTGCATAGGTTCACAGAACACGAAGCTCCAAATCAAATTTTAGAAAAAAAAAACGGAAATGGCACTGAACCACTGTTTATCATGTTGAATCTAAATGAGCGGTTTTTTACGGGTCGATGATGATGATGATGATCACTTTAAACTACAGAACAGAACTGTATATGTTTACTAAATCATTGTGATACTTTTTTTCCTGTTGCATGGTTATTAATAAAGCTGATCGGGTAGATTGCGAATGTGATAACCTGACCGCATTTTTTTGTTATACCGACGGGACGCGTTTAATGGTTTGTTCCTACCGGATCAATCTTTACCTACTTGTTAACAGTCAGTGTATCGGACAGAGCGTTCCGCCTGATTTGTCCCTCCTCCTCCCCCCCCCCCCCCGTTTCTTTTTTGCACATTCTTATTCATTAGGGAGAAACTCCGAGCGGAGATCGCCAGGGAACGCGAAGAAAGAGTAAGATCACATAGATCATTGAAATTGCGCATATTGGCTTGATTTTTTTCAATTTATCATCAAGTATCATCGCGCTTCTCATCGGGTTCTTTTTTGTCCTACCTGTGTGTCTGATCTTGTAAGCCCAATTGATCGACAAACTAGATAAGATAGTTTTCATAGAAGAATGTTTGAAAAGCAATACATGCACTCTTATTGAATGCCAGAACCTTGCTGCATTCAAACAATGGACTCTCCCGGAAGAACATTTTGTTCTATTGGTGTCCCGGGAATGATTCAATAACACCAACCGAACTGATAAAGGTCATCATAAAAACACAAGCCTATCGGTACATCAAGTACACGATTATCACCCATACGCGACCGAACAAAGAAATGGATGTTACAGAGGAAGATTCTCTTAGCGACAGCTCAAAAGATATCAAACCGCAGACATTTGGGATAACTACATCATGTTGAGAAACCTTTGTGCAAAATTATTGTAAGAGGATAAACGGCGGTTTCAAGAAATCCTGGTGCACAAATTTATCTCCAATCCAAAGCTCCTAAACAAGCATATCATTGTCACCAGAAAAGTGATATATGGAATGCAGCCACCAGGGCATGTAGGATGCACTTCCACTGCCACATCTGAAGCAGTCCAATACTATGAAGTGTTCGCTGCAGGTGACCAAGTTGGATTGCAGCTTCCATACCCCTAATTGACTGCCGTCACCTTCGGTAAAAACACCGTGTCCTTCCACCCAAAGGTGGCTACCGAACTGATCCTGTAAATGACCGTCCAGTTACAATTCTTCCTGTTCTGTCAAAAGTAATGGAATCAAGTGTTGTTGATTCTCTGATGAAGCATTTCGGGAAGTACAACAGTCTGTCGCCGGCCCAACACCGGTTTCAACGAGAACCGTCATGTATCCCAAATCTGCTACTTGTACGAGAAGAGTGGAGAAGAACAGGCGAACCATGGGAAACAGTAGATGTAATCTATTTGGACTTCTCCAAAGTTTTTGACAGAGTTAATCACCATATACACTGTTACGAAAGCACCATAACTACGGTGTTCGAGGTCTGCTACTGAATTAAGGAATTGCCTCGACAATGAACCGTACCAGTTCGATGTAACGATTCGCTATTGGGACCAATGGAAGCTGTCCGTGGAGTTCCACAAGGATCCGTACTTGGTCCGTATCTTTTCTAGCATTCATAAACGATCTACTAGATATTCTTTTTTTATTACACGAAAGTAAATACAGTAAAAGGGGTAAACCCCATGATTCACGGAGTTATACTGTAAGTGGGGAGGTATGGGGAATATTCAAGCTAGAATCATCTTGTTGATTCTGCGTTTTAAAACATGGATATACGTTGCAGGGAGGACCGAAAAGGAGAGAGTGTTCCACAGTTATGCTGTTCTTGGGAAAACAGCACTATTATTCGTTGAGGACGCTAAAACTGGAGAACCGTACGACATTAAGATTATGAAACCCTACAGGAAACTCTCGACGCAATTTGCCGATGGTCTATCACTAATGACATTGGATTCAACGTTGAGAAATGCAAGATTGCGTCGTTGTGCTACAGTCGTCGTTTTCCGTACGTACACAGAAATCAGTCATTACCGCGTGCTCCAGACGACAAGTATCTGGGATTTATCGTTCGTGAGGATTTAAGATGTCCTGCACATTGTGTTATAGCGTCATTAAAGGCCATAAAGCAAGTTTGATTACTAAAACGTGGTTTTAGATCGTTCGAAGCATACCGATTGCCCGTTTACTATCAACATACATCAAATATCACGCAGAGTATGCTATACAAGCTTGGAATCGTGGCTACTTCGTAGCCGAAGCACTCGAACGCCCACAGAGAACAGCAACCAAAATGTTCACAGTTACAATCCAAGACCTACGTTGAAAGATTCCAAATCCTCTGACTCTGTTCACCTGAATACCGTCAAATACGGTTAGACCTGGTAGTCGTATATATCAAATACCACATCAGCCTAATCACTCGTGTAGTATAACACTAATAACACTATCCGGAAATGGTCATCGCTGAGGACATCCATTTAGGACTGCAAGCGTCACTGTTTCGAACTCAAAGTTTACAACAATACCTGGAACTGCCTTTCACCTCCGGTTGTTTGCGCTCCAAACTATCGATTCATTCTGGTAACGGCCAGATACGCCATTGAAACAACCAACTATTAGGATTCAGTAAGTACTAGGTTTGCAATTTTATCCGTAATCAAAAATTCGCAACTCACCTGAATCGATTTGTGGTGATTTGGACGGTCCAGATAGGAAACCAAATAACCTGTCCCATGCTCATTGATTTGAATCTATGCCAGTCCAACTGTAACCAACTGTAACTGCTGTCGTGCTCTGCTATCCCCTCACGCACTTTTTAGGATTTTGAGTCCTCGAAAGAAGTGGCAACTTTCGTTAATTCTGAGGTTCACTTTTTGGATACCCAATCCTCACCCCAACCCCCTTATCATGAATTGGCTATCCAAAATTTGTTGGACAGTCGGGTCGTGCTCATTATCTTCCGGACACAGACTGGCCATAGCTGAATGACTGGGTGTCCTATCGCGCTAGATACTCGGGGTGGATATGGCAAACCGGATTGCAATCCACTCCGAAGCTTATGGCACAATACATATATCTAAGACGTAGACTGACTGATGTGTGTTAGACGCATCGGGCACCTTTTTTGCAACAATTCTCGTTTTGGGAAGCACGTTCCACTTAGCTGGGCACAGGTTACCGGTAAGTTCTGTGCCTCATACTCCACCTTGTTCGTTTATATGTCGTCGGGTACAAGCAGAACACTGCCATTTCACACTCACTGATGATGATGATGATGATGATGATGTCAGCTCAGCTGGTAGTGAAACGTTTGCTAACAAGTTGCCTAACTCGGCAAACAGGCGAAATGAAAGTTATAGTCAGCAATCCTTCTGTTTATGTGCATTGCACTGAGTTGTATCGTCATCATCATCATGCCATATTTGATCGATTTGAGTTGTTTGGTTCCCGAGAGATTGTGAAGAAAAAACTGGGTGGGGTAACAATATTTAGTGTAGGGAGGCGGTGCATATCACAGTCATCGTAGCATGCATGATCGTCACAGCAAAAAAAACACTTCACCATTTCACGTGTTCATTGCCTGATCACGATTCCGTTTGATTTATGCACTTCGCGCTGATTGTTATTGTTGGTGATATTGTAGCGAGAAGGCGAACTGGCTGGGGAAACGTTTATTGGTCCAATTGAAAAACAACCGGTGTACGCGTTCAACTATATACATTCAATTCTTAACTGCGAGGCAGGATGATTCATGCCTCTTTCTGTTGGTCAACCCCTGCTGGTTTCGGTCCGCACTTGGCATGTACGTTGCCCCTTCTTCCGCGTGCCGTTCCGGCTGGTTGGACCCGATCGTAGCGAGAGTTACGTTGGTCAACAGCTCCGACGTAGTGGCATTCGGTGTATATCTTTTTGGCTAGATGCGGATTGTCTGTGGGGCTGTCATTGTCGATTCGTTCGTTTCGGGTGGTAGTCCACATTGTCTCGCGTAGTACTTCCAGCCGCTACGTCTGTGCGTCTGGTTGGATGGGCCCCATTCGTGATTCGTTCACTAGCCGGGGCCCTCTTTGCACCACCTTCCATCACAATATAAATAAATGGTAGTTATAAAATAGATGCTTTACGTCCGTCGAATGTGTCATGCGGAAATGATATTTGCAATGTGAGACTGTCAGCATACGTTCGTGGCAGTCACTTCGTCTGTTTGAATGGCTTTTTTGGTTCACGTACTCCCAATAGTTTTTTTTTTAATTACACACCGGTGTGTGATGGACAACAGACAACGGGATGGAGCCCCATAGTCAAAAAGACTTGCGGTTCAGTGATGGAGACTGGTAACCTAAGCCCCGTGGGACTTGGAGTGGGGTGAACCACATAAGGCCCCGATAGGTTAGGCATGGTATTGGACCGGACGACAGCGAAGCTGCCTACCACCAAAGTCGGGTGGCGGGTCCAAAACATGCGGGTAACAATAACTAGACCACTGCACCACCACCACCAGGTCACAGTCCCCCGTCATCAAATGGTTCTAGTTGGCATTACTTACTCTTGAGTCCGTTAAGGTTGATGCCCAGTTTCATGCTATCACTCTTGTGAATGTGTGAGTCGATGCGGAAGATCAATCCTTCGTAGACAGTCAGATGATGATGAAAAAATTGCGAAGCTACACACGTGGTATCGGTATGGAAGAAATTACGGATAAGTTTTGCGGACAGTTGGCAATCTCCGTTTTGATGACGCGTTTTTGGGAAATTCAATGCAATATGATTTGTGCTTACGTATACCGAAAAGGTACTCCTACACTTCGTCATACTCCATTGCGTGCGCACGTATTAGGGTTGTGAATTTGCCTAACTAACTCTACTCGAGAAGAAACCGTAAGCAACATTACAGAAAGGTCAACTCTAGTTTAATAGTCTGTTCTAACAAGCGGTTTTAGTCCATGTTAATGTTGTCCGATTTTGGTAGTAAGCAATTCCAATCTTGTTCAGCTCAGTGGCACGCTTGCCAGATAGGTTATCCGTGTTCGAACATCGCTGTCTGTGCTGCATTGCACGAGTCGGATGAGGAAACCGGACGAGCAATGCTGAAGTAAGATGCAGAGTTTTAACTAATCGCGGTCGTCCACTGGACCAAGTGGTCGATCTCGATAAATGACACTGTTTGGGATATGCATTGCGCATGTTACCAAATAGGTTACCGCTGCAAGCGGTATTTGTTGAGGCACACAACGGATGGAAATAGGTCAAGGGTGGTCAAACTAAGACCTGGCATGAGAGTTTGAAAATCCTAACTAGGACACTGGATCACATAGATCCTGTCAGGCCCCCCTGGATGGGGACCCCGAGATCATAATAACCGGTGGTTAGAGACGCTGAGTGATGTGGCTGAGTGTCGCAAACAATGGCGGTCGTGCATCTACTCAAGATTCTTGCAACCCCAATCTGTGTGAATCCTTTATTTTCCCCTTGAATTTACTCTTAACATTACAATCTTCATTTTGGTCTTTTATAAAAGTGGGCAACCAAAACCGGCGCATGAAAATGCATGGTTAATGGTTGTAATAAACGGAACGAATGCTCGAACGAAGCATGATTTGGTTATCCACTTCAAGCTGCTAGACTTATGTTCGTGGTTTCCATACCGAGACCGTGGGTTGTTGAGACTACGGAGTTCACTGTTACTGCACATCATAGTAGGATGTGTTATGGTCAACAAAAGTCTCTTCGAGATGAATAAGATCTGTAGTTGTTCACATTTATTGAATGAGAAACAATTCGATCGTTGAGAACAGTCTGAATTGTGATTAGGACATGTACAACCTTGATAAAACTCTCATTTCCATCTTTGTCATTCGACCGGAAAATGTCACGCATCATTTCCAGTTGGTAGTAGAAGTCTTCTTCTTGTTGGATGCTAACGCGTGTAGCTTTTGACTGTCATAACTTCGTGACCTACAGTTTTCGACAAGTCAAACTCATTTCGTTGGTCCCTATAGAACAGTAGTCGGTTTACCTTCTAATCTCGTAGTTACTCGAGGCATCCGGACAACCCATTCCAGCCTCCCATCCGATGTAACCTTATCGTGTTTCACCCGCCGCTGCATCATTGTAGAAACTGCGTGAACAAGGCAATCTGCCCACTCCAAAGCCGACCCCTGTACCCACGGAACCTACTACTACTACTACAATAGACAACACTTCCACATCATGTCGTCTTCAGATTCGGCTTCCCATGGGGAATCCTCTGAAAGCGGAGTTCGGTGCTACGGAACCACTGAGTGCAGTGGCTCTGTACATAAGCCAGCGTTGGCCCAATACCACCGGGGTAGATCCCACCATGATTCACTTGTTCACCACTTTCCCGAAACACGAATACGATACCGGTGAGCTGCAAAAATCCCTCAGGGAGCTAGGTAAGTATGCGAACATAATTCATGAACAAACCAGTCTGTTTTGTCACGATAACCGTACTGATAAGAGCTAGTTTTAGAAAATCGTTTATTTATTTTTACACGATGGTACAAACGATTTTTTCAGACTGGAGGAGGTGGTTAACCAATCGGCTATCGTTTTCTTCAACCAAATGGGGAGTTGGACTGTGGTGCTGTGGTTCAAACACTACCTCTGTCGCCATGAGTCGATGATCTCAGAAAAAATGCACGAATGAATTTGGTTTGTCTTTTTGCTAGATAAGATCGAATTCCTATACAGTGCATTCAGGTACTCGTTACACTTGTTCAACACTAATCTGATTCCATAAATGGTCACTGAAAAGCTATTGGAGCAACTAATAAGACAATGTTTTATACAGAATCGAAGCTGAGTATAATATCCTGAGTGATGGTGAGTGTATGACGTAATTGGTTGAATGTGTAATAG